ATGTAAGATACAAACCCCTGGAAAGAGCAGCCATTCTCTCTCCCTGGTTTTACCTGTTCATTACTGGGAGATTGGCATAATCCTTCTTCAGCATGCTGGGAGGAAGGTCATCCAGATGGCTGGGGGTGTCTACAAGGAGATAAACATTTGAGGAAGAGAAGGACAAAGTCAGAGCTCTGACCTTGCAAACCAGATCAGAGGAAACATGTTCTGAAAGAAACTGGCCATGTGCTCCAAATAAGAACTGAGCAGATCCAGCCAAGAGGGCGGGAACTGAGAGAAAAAAATAGGTTCAGTCTTTTCCCTTCAGCACTCTGGATTTAGAATTTGGTGTGTATGTATTTACAAAAATCCACTGAGCTCAGAGATCACAGAATACCAAAAGAATCTGTGCTGCAAGGGACCTTAACACCCATCTGATTCCATTCCCTGCCATGGGCAGAACACCTCCCACTGTCTCAGGCTGCTCCAAGCCACATCCAGCCTGGCCTTGGACACTTCCAGGGATCCAGGGGCAGCTACAGCTTCTATGGGCACCCTGTGCCAGGGCCCCAACATCCTCACAGATCTCCTGCTACTGACAATTGTTCATTTCTCCACATTCAGGAGGAGGGGAATCTTCTGAGTAACTCCTGAGCTTGCAAGGAACTATTTCTGGAATGATTTCTGTGCCATGAGGGTATAGCTCTGAGCATGTCAACAGCAAAACATTTGCTCCTGTGGATCCTGACATACCTTTCTTCTTCTTTGTCACAGGTCTGGCATAGCCCCTGGCTGCCTGGAGCACAGGATTGCAGGCTGGATGGAAGAAACAGAAAGATAACAGATCTGTGTGCCCTTCTCCAGCTCTGTACACATCAAATACTTCTTGGTCTGCATAGGGTCAGAGCACTGAGACTTGGGGGTGATCAGTGACCAGGCAGATCTTTAGTCCCAGAGGAGCATGTGATAGTTCAGTCTTGCTCTCACACGGTGCTAGAACAAACAAGCTGCGCTGCTTGAGAGCGAGCAAATGCCGAGGGTGGGGCAGCACAACAGACTGCACACACTGAGCAGAGTGTGAGGGCTCCCCCGGGCAAATGTGTTCATTTAGAGGGTTTTAACTGCTGAATTAACTCAATCTCATTAGCCAAGTGGAGGGGCTGCTGCCGACCACCCCGGTGTCAGAGCTTAGGGGTGGGGACAACCTTTGTCTGACACAGCTCGGTACAGACGCGAATATTCATCACCAGCCGAGACTTCGTCATTCTTTGACCTTTCAAGAACTTTTCCAGCTGCTCTCCCAGGGCCCTGCTGCTGGAATCAGGACCTGCTTCAGGCCATCCGCCTGTGCCCGGCTCGGCCACCCCCGCTCGCCCCCGCCGTTCCGAGGGACCCCGGACTGCCCGCGCCCCCTCCCCAGCCGTACCGCGGGG